CCTCCCCAGTGCTGGATCAAAGACGTGAGCCGCCAACCTAAATGAAGATTTTTGTCTGTTAGTTTCCCAGTTGCTATCAGACACCTGAGAAGAGTTGGAGTGAAGGGGGATGTGGGCTGGGCACTTGCATGGCCCACCTGCCCACCCGACTGCCCGCCCTCCTGCCTTCCTACCAACTCAGTCTCCATCCGTGCTGACAAAAAAGGATCTTTATGCTCCTGTAATAGGTCCTTCTCTGTCCCGCCAGCCAGCTCCCAAATAATGACACAGAGACTTCTTATTAGTTATGAAAGCAGGCAGAGTCTCTGTGTGGTCAAGGACACAGCCAAGCGTGGTGACCCGAGCCTTTAATCTCAGTACCAACCATAGAGATCTGGAGGTCTGTGTAGACAGGCGGTGATGAGGAAGTCATGTGATTGGGTTTAGAGCCAATGAGAAGGCAGAACAGAAAGGCAGTAAAAAGACAGGACAGACATTAGAAGCTCTCTCCCTCTGGGGAAGCAATGGCAGCGAGTGGTAAGCTAAAGGCTATTTGCTAGTGCTCCGATCTCCTGGGCTTCTAACTCTGTATTTGGCTCTGTGTTTCTTTTTTTTTTTTTTTTTTTTTTTTTTGGTTTTTCGAGACAGGGTTTCTCTGTGTAGCTTTGCGCCTTTCCTGGAACTCGCTTTGGAGACTAGGCTGGCCTCGAACTCACAGAGATCCGCCTGGCTCTGCCTCCCGCGTGCTGGGATTAAAGGGGCTCTGTGTTTCTTATTTAATAAGACCGTTTAGAATTTTGTCTACAAAAAAGTAGGTTAGGGGATCAACGAGTAAAGGCGCTGGCAGCGGATGATAACGTCAGTTTCGTCCCAGGGACCCACGCGGTGTAAGGGGAGAACTAACGCCAGAAAGTTGACCTCTGACCTCCACACGGGTGCCATGGCATGCCCATGCCCACACCCATGCACACACATAATAAGTGAACAACAAAAATATAATAAAAAAGAAAAGCATGTTATTAGTAAAAACTGGGAAGTCTACCATGGGTGTTGTATAGTGTGTGTGTGGGGGGGTGTGGGGGTGTGGTGTGGTGTGTGGTTTATGAGGCAATGAAGTAGCTTCTCATGTAGTCCAGGTTGGCCTCAAATTTGCTATGTAGTTGAGGATGACCTTGAACTCCTGATCCACCTGCTTCTATGGTCCGTGAATTGGGATTATGGGAGGACTCTCCCACGCCTGGTTCCTGAAGTGCTGGAGAGCAAACCTAGGCCTTTGTGCATGCTAGGCAAACACTCTACCAACTGAACTACATCCCCAGCCGTCCCATGAATATCTTATTGTCTTTGTACCATTTTGTGTTCATAGTACTGAGACTTGAACCAGGAGTCCTTGAACATGTGAGGCCAACTATCTACCAACTGGGTTACATCGATAACCTCTCTGGCATGCTTTAACTAAAGCTTCTTCACAGGCCTTAAAGAACTTGGAAAGTGTCTGGTAGGAAAGCCCCAAATGATCAGAAAAATTGAAGGAGTCACGACGTCATACTCACTGGTACCCTAGGCCCTGAGCAAATCATGGTATGTACCTTCCTGACCACAGTCCTGGGACAAGGTACGAGGTCGTATCCATACTTTGCAGATGAGGAAAATTCAGAAAAGCTGAGTGATTTGCTTGAAGGCTCATAGTAAATGACTGGTGGTCAAAAGTCAGACCCAACTCTGAACCCAAAAGCTCTTAATCTTGATGTTCTTATGCCCGGCTTTGCTACTGGGGTGGGCTTGAGGGACAGAGCCTAATGTGCCAAGTAGCCGGGGAGCCCAGGGGTAGTTCCCACACTTCACGTCCCCGTGGGACCCATCCTGTGTGTGCTGACAGTTTGACAACTTACGCAGCAGCTGGTTTGCTCGGAGGAGATCTCCATTAATTAAAGTAGCACAAAGGGAGAACCGCCTGAGCCATGTTGTTGGGTAATTAATGCAGAAGAGAACCCGGGCGGCCAGAATGCTCAGAAGCTACCTGCCAGAACCAAGCTCCAGTCACTGCCCCGGCCCACACCAGCCCACAGCTACTGCTCAGTTGCTCTAGTCACAGGCTGCTGCCATCAGATGACCTCCATGGATGGAGAGGACAAGTTGTCCTCTGGGCCAGACCCTGAATCACTCCTCTGGTTCCCTCGGCCTCTTTGAACTGCCTATCTTTCCTGGGAGATAATTGGTGATGCAAGCTGGTGCTAAAGCACCCAGGACCCAGAGCTTGGAAGCTTTACTTCTGAAGAAGTACGTGTCCCTGGCTAGCTCTGCCCATCAGGCTGTCTGCCCAAAGCTGTTGCCTCATGTCCCAGGACAAGATCTCAAATCAGCCTGCTTCAGCATCCAGTGTCCTGGGACGAAATGCATGTGACCCCCAGTTGCACCAGCCAAGGCTTTCTATTTGCCTCCCTTTCTGGACCCTCATCGTGGTCCCGGATCACACTGACTAGGGATTCTCATTTCTTTCTTGTCCTTTCTTCCATTTCATTATTACTATAACCCCAGCAATGCCCTGAGAAAGTTTGTTTGCAAATGAATCCACCCAAGTTCTGAGCCGTGAATTCGCTCCTCCAAAGACAAGGAGGCTTCCCTTCTTTCTCTGGAGACTAGACTTCTCTGGGATCTCAGCAGTTAGGCCAGCCGTAACTTGCTTTTCTGTCTGTTTTCATTTCTTCCTTCTCCTTTGGAGATAAGGTCTTGGTACATTTCCCAGTTTGGTCTCACCAGAATTGCAGTAATCCACCTGGCTCTGCGTCCCAAGTGGGACTACTGATGTGGACAGCTGCAATTGATCCTGTTTTTCTGTTTTTTTGTTTTGTTTTGAAACAGAGTTTCTCTGTGTAGCCCTGGCTATCCTGGAACTCACTCTGTAGACCAGGCTGGCCTTGAACTCAAGGAGATCTGCCTGCCTCTGCCTCCCAAATGCTGCGATTAAAGGCGTGCGCCACCTCCACCCAGCTGCTTTTCTGTTTTTAATAAACTTTATTTTTTGGGGATGCTCTTTGGTTTGAGAAGATCTCTACACACAGTACAGAAGTTCTTACATACTCCATCAGGTGCCCCATTGTCAACATTTCATATTACCATGGCCTGCTGTCAAAACCAAGAATCTCGGATAGATCTGGAGAGATGGGGCAGCAGTTAGGAGCACTGACTGCTTTTCCAGAGGCCTGGGTTTGAAGTCCAGAACCCACATAGCTGCTCAAAACCGTGTTCAGCTCAAGTTCCAGGGCATCTGACGCCCTCTTCTGACCGCCACGGGCACTGCACACACATGGTACACAGGCAAATATCATACATATAAAATTAAAAAAAAAAAAAAAACAGCTGGGCATAGTGGCGCATGCCTTTAATCCCAGCACTCGGGAGGCAGAGGAAGGCAGAACTCTGTGAGTTCAAGGCCAGCTTGGACTACAAAGTCAGTTCCAGGACAGCCAGGGCTGTTACACAAAGAAACCCTGTCTTGAAAAACCAAAACAAGAAAAAAAAATGTTTTTAAACAAAACAGAGGCCTGCCTCTCTTGCAGAGAACCCAAGTTCTGTTCCAAACACCCCTGAAGGGAGGCTCAAAACACTTGTAACCCTAGCTCCTAGGCTGACCTCCTGGGGCACCTACACTCACGTGCACATCCATACGTAGGTAGATATATACACACAACTTTTTTTTTTTTTTTGGTTTTTCGAAACAGGGTTTCTCTGTGTAGCTTTGTGCTTTTCCTGGAACTCACTTGGTAGCCCAGGCTGGCCTCGAACTCACAGAGTTCCGCCTGGCTCTGCCTCCCGAGTGCTGGGATTAAAGGCGTGCGCCACCACTGCCCGGCTTACACACAACTTTTAAATAAAAAAATAAAAATAAAAATAAACTAGGAATCTAACAGTGCGTACTTACTTTTGTGGCAGCTCCGAGGATCAAACACAGGGCTTGTGCAAGCTCGGCAAGTGTCCTACCTCTCAGCTACGTAAATGTCCCATCCCCGTATATTTGACTTTTGAACCAGGAAACATTGCCCTCTGGGAGATGAGCTCTGCGTTTGTCTTCTCCATCCATAAGTGTGAGTACTTTCAATGAGGCCCCTTCAGCACTAACAGAGCCTTTCTCTGAATCACTACATTGACCAATATCGATGTCCCAAAGCCAGAAGGGCCGTTTAGGAAGAACCAGCCTCAGCACCAGAGGCTCGAAGCTTTGCTCTGTAACCTTCAAGTGTCCACTCATCAATGTTCTCTTTCCATAACCTTCCAAAGGTATCTATTGCTCACTTAATCAGTTATTTTTACCAGTGATTTTTGCCCACTCACTGTAAACATCTCTAGGCTGATGGTCCTGACCTGTGTAAAAAATAAATAAATAAAAATGCAGCTCAGCATAAGCTGGCTGGTGAGCAAGCATCCTCCTCCATGGTTCCTGCTGTACCTCCTGGCTGTAGAGTGAGTTCTTGGGTTGGCGTTTACTCTGTAGAATAACAAACTGTCCTGCCTTCAAGTTCCTGCCTTGGCTTCTATCAGTGATGGGCCGTGATCTGAAATTGGGAGCTAAAATCAGCCTTTTCCTCCCTAAGTTGTTTGTTCGTTTTTTCTTTTTTTTTTTTTTTTTTTTTTTTTTTTTTTTTTTTGGGTTTTTCGAGACAGGGTTTCTCTGTGTAGCTTTGCGCCTCTCCTGGAACTCACTTGGTAGCCCAAGCCGGCCTCGAACTCACAGAGATCCGCCTGGCTCTGCCTCCCGAGTGCTGGGATTAAAGGCGTGCGCCACCACCGCCCGGCTTCGTTTTTTCAAGACAGGATTTCTCTGTGTAGCCCTGGCTGTCCTGGAACACACTTTGTAGACCAGGCTGATATCCCGCCCACCCCCACCCCACCCCCACCCCACCCCCACTTCACCCCCACCCCGTGTTTTGAGTGCCGGGATGAAAGACCTGCGCACTGCGCCCGGCTGTGAGTTGTTTTTTAACCAGAGTGCTTTTGTCACAGTAACAGAAATGAAACCAGAACAGATGCCAAAAAACCATTGTTGTTAATCCAGCACCTTTCCATCCTAAAAACTCTCGACAAACTGGGAATGGAAGGAAACTGTCTCAGCATAATAACGCCTGTATGGGAAAGGCCCACGGCCACACCACACTTAGCGATGGCATTGGTGGAGGGGTAGGAGACCGTTCAGGCTGTGGGTGCGGCCCAGCAGTGGAACTCTGGCCTAGAATCCCTAAGGAGATGGGTTCAGTGTCCATCAAAGACAAAGCAAATGCTCCATAAAGGCGAGAGGAGGCAGACAGTGAGTGGCCTGTGCATCTGCCTTCACATCTGCCAGCTTCACAGGTCCCGGTCAGCCGCAGAAGAGACAAATCCAGGCTTCTTTTCCAGCAGAATAATCAAAAAGGAGTCATGAGGAAGGCACAGAATCGGCGGAGCAAGTAGGCAGGTGGCCCCGGGTGGACAGGAACAGCTGGACAGACAACCTCCTCCTCGAAATTTTGTCCTGCTAGGCCCTGAACCCTCAATTCTTTCCTTCCTCTATCCCTTCCTGCAGCCATCTAGGAGCCTCGTGCCAGTTGGATGGGGGCGGTGGTTGATGTGTGCTTCTTTGTAAAGCAGCTTCCCCCTCCCAGCCCCAAGTGCAGATTTGGAGAACTGGTTCTGGGGTGGAAGCAAATGGCTGCTGGGATACTGGGTGACACATGCAGCTGAAGCTTTGTGGGGGGAGGGGAAGGCAGAGGCAGAGCCTCCCACATCTCCACCCCCCGGGTATGAAAGCTGCAAAGGTATCAGAGGTAAGACTTAATGGCGTGCCTGGGGTCTCCCTGCACAGATGAGCAGGCTGCGAGGCGGGAGCTGTGGGGAAATTGGAAAAGGGACACATTCATTTTTCACTGCACAGCTACACACACACACACACACACACACACACACACACACACACACACACACACTTAATAAAGAGCCAGAGGCTGCTCTGGCTCCTACTCCTTTTCTATAGAGGACCTGTAGGAGAGGTTATGAAGAGGCAGAGAGGGGAAAGCACTGGGCTGCTTCTCCTCCAGGCTTTGCCACTGTCTGCAGGACAGCCTGGGGGGCGGGGACACTTGGACAGCCTTGCTGGCCACAACCACCTAGTGTGTGTGTGGGGGGGGGGGGGGGGGGGAGCCAGAGAACCGCATATGAAGAAAAGCTGGAAAGCTACCTCTTACTCCAGAATCTTTGGCCAGAACCCTGAGCCTCCGGAGCCCCAGCCCAGCTCCTCAGAATAGACCTAACTATAGCCTGGGAGGAATTCTCAGTGCCCTGCTCCTGGCACCCACAGAGACTTAAGAGACAGACGACCTGCCTGGCCTAGGCATGGTAGTACCACCTGTAACCTCAGCTACTCCAGAGGCTAAGGCGACAGGATAAAGAATTGGAGTGTGTCGTCCTGTGCCCCCCCCCACCCCCCCCACCCCCTGTACAAAGGGAGAGAGTTCAGTGTAGGTGTGAGGCCCCGGGGCTCCATCTCCAGTGTGAAGGGAAGGATAGATGCAGGGAAACTCACCAAGCCCAGATCCGTTAACTCCAAGTACTCCATCCACAACCCTGGAACAGGAGTGAAGACAATGGTATCAGGATGACCTGAGCCACTGGGTCAGGGAGGGACTGGGCCCCTCTCAGCATCTCCGAACCTGATTGCAGCCCTCACATCCCTCACAAAATTCACATCGGTTCGGGAAAGTGGGCGAGTTCCTGGGACGTGGGAGGAGAATCTGTCCTTCAACTTTCACCTGCTGGAGGGGAGGGTGGTCTTCATACCCAATAAATGCCCACCGGGGCACACATCACCAGAGACTCTCACATGGAACCACACTCACCTTTGAGCTTTATTCAAATGATACGATCATTTCAGTCTATGTCCTGGGTGAACACAGAAGTCCATCCGTCTCTCGTTTCTTTCTGAGGATTCTGGGAGATATTCTCATGTTTCTTAGATCCCTGACTGCTCGGTGCAACTGTGCTGGTCATGGACTGCACAACTCCAGGGTGCTGGTTACAAAGCCCTGCTATGACATAACTACCACCCTTGTACCTCTTTCCAGTCACCATTAGCCGTCAAGTGCATTAGCTCAAGTTCAGAGTCTTTATTTTCAAAAGGCACTGGTGACTTAAATCCAAGAATCACATGTGGCACCTGATTTAAACTTCCATCCTTTTTATTTGTAGACATTTTTTTGGTAGTCTATGTGAGCTGATTTTGTCACTGACAACAGTAATGTTTAAATTATGACTTGTACAACACTACGTCTCCTGCAGCGTTAATTTGCCTCCTAAGCACTATTGCTGAGCACTGTGATCTTTGTGCTACTTACCCTACAGGTAACACTTCGGAACTTGACTCTTATAAAGTCATTAAGTCTGGTTGGTCATCTACAGTCAGTGATGTGTGCTCACATCAGCAGAGGCTGTAGCAGTCGTGCATGTGTGTGTGTGTGTGTGTATGTATACACTTACAACATAAAATTGACTAATTTTTTTTGAGACATGGTCTTGCTATATAGTCCAGAACCTCAGCTTTGTGAGTGCTAGGATTGCAGGAATGCATCTATTTTTTTTGCGGGGGGGAGGGTGTTTAGAGACAAGATTTCTCTATGTAGCTAGCACTGGTTGTCCTGAAACTCACTCTGTAGACCAGGCTGGCCTCGAACTCAGAGATCCACCTGCCTCTGCCTCCGAGTGCTGAGATTAATGGTGTGCACCACCACTGCCTGGTGCAGGAATGCATCTTAATTTTTTAAATAGCGTGTGTGTGTGTGTGTGTGTGTGTGTGTGTGTGTGTGTGTGTGTGTGTGTGTGTGTGTTGTAGACCAGAGGCCAATGTCTGGTGTCTTTCTCTACCTGTCTCCATATTACTTTTTGGGACAGGGTCTCTCACTGAACTTGAAAATCACTGATTCAGCAAGACTTCCTGGACAATGAGTCCCAGGCATCCTCCTGTCTCTGCCTCCCCAGCACTGAGATTACAAGCACATGACACACTAAGCTGAGCTTTTCACGGGAGTGCTGGCAACTGTGATGCAGGCCCTCATGCTTACACTGCGAGCTCTTGTAACCATTTTAAGGGTACAACTCAGTGGCATCAAGTACTGGCATCAAGTACTGGCACATTGTCGTGCAAACGCCACTACCCTCCACCTCCAGAACTTGCTCACCGTCCACAGTTGAAATCCTGCCCGTTCATAGATAATGTCTCCTCCCTCCTCGGTCTGTGGCAATCCCATTGTACCTTCTGTGTGCAAATATGACTACCAAGGTATCTCACGTAGAGAAATTTTAAGCAGTATTAGTCGTCTTGTGACTACTTTTTTCATTCACCATATTTTCTTCAAGGTTCAGTCATAATTCAGTGAGCCAGAATTCTTTGTGTATTTGTTCATTCTTTGTGTATTGATGGGCATTTGGGTTGTTTCCGTAAATAATACTGTAATGAACACACCTATGTTCTTACTTTCACACTATCTTGGGTATAGCCCAAAGGTGAAATGATTGGACTATAAGATAACTGTTTAATTCTCTGAACCACTGTCATACTTTCCCACAGCCGCCACATGACTTTACGTTCCTGGAAGAAATGCCCTCGGTTCCAGTTTCTCCACACTCTTGCCAATTTGTGTTACTTTTTTTTGTCTTGGCAGCCCTCAGTCAGGGCTCCTGGCTCTCTCTTCTTTGTCCTGCATCCAGCCAATAATGGTTATACTACATTGTCTAAGATCTCTTGGATTTGTTCCCATCTCTTCCTGACCACCCTGGCCTGGTTCGAGCCCTCCCAACTTTGTTACACCGTTCTGTCTCAGTGACCTTCCAACAGTTTCAGAGAAAAGAGCTGTGTATTCCAGAATGATGCTGCATGCTCACTGGGGTATTATTCTAAAAAGGAGGGGGAGGGGCTGGCAAGACTGGTCAGCGGGCAAAGTGCTTTCTGCACAAACGTGAGGACCTGAGTTCGGGTCCCCAGAACTCATGTAAAAGCCAGGTGAAACACCACATCTCTGTAACCCCAGCACTGGGGGGCTCAGAGAAGGAGGATCCCCAGAGCTGGCTGGCCAGCCTGCCCAGCCAGTCAGTGAGCTTAGTGAGACCCCGGGTTCAGTGAGAGACCCTGCCCTAAAAACTAAAATGGAAAGCGACTGAGGAAGACACCCATGTTGACATTTGGCCTCTACACACAAATACGTAGACATGTATATACCACACAAATACATAGACATGCATATACCACACAAATACATAGATGTGCATATACCACACAAATACATAGACGTGCATATACCACACAAATACATAGACGTGCATATACCACACAAATACATAGACGTGCATATACCACACAAATACATAGATGTGCATATACCACACAAATACATAGACATGCATATACTACATCAAAAAAGACAGAGAGACACACACTCCAATCAGGATTAAGAAAGAAAGAATAAGCTATGTCATTTTAATAACAGATCTTGTTAATTAAAATAGTAACATTTGTTAATTTTAATATACATTTATTTGAATTATAATACTTCCACAATTATATCTAACAATTTTCTGCTTAATCTAATTGCAAGATGTGTTTTGCAAAACAGTTTAACAGGTGTTCTCAAGGACCATAAAGATCTTTTGATTCAGGAACTTTGAGTCTGGAAATCTATCACAAAGAGTTTGAAATATGAGGAAAAATACAAAAAAAAAAGAAGATGCTCATTATATTCACTACCATAAAAATAACTTAGGTGAGTATGGTGTTGCACACCTGTTTCCAGCACTCAAGAGACTGAAGCAGGAGACTTGCCATGAGTTCAAGAGCAACCTGGTCTACATAACAAGACTTTATCTCAAAAAAAAAAAGAAAGAAAGAAAGAAAGAAAGAAAGAAAGAAAGAAAGAAAGAAAGAAAGGGAGAACAGGAAAAGAAAGATGAAAAAAGAAAGGAAGGAAGGAAGGAAGAGAGAAAAAACAAAACACTTTGGCTGGTTTCATCTTGGGTCCTTCAAAGGCAAGGCCCTGTTTTCTATCCAGCCAGTTATGAGAGTCCAGTTTCTGCACATGTTCAACAACATTTGTTAGCACTGTTTTTTACCATAGGCACTCATTGGTGTACAGTGGTGGCCCTCGTGGCTTAATTGTGTTTTCCTTAATTGTGGCTAGTGATGTTTACCAGCATTTTTTTTTTTTTTTTTAAATAAGATCCCTCGATGTAGCCCTGGCTGTCCTGGAACTAGTAGACCAGGCTGGTCTCAAACTGACAGAGATCTGCCTGCCTCTGCTTCCGAGTGCTGGGTTAAAGGTGTGTGCACCACCATGCCCTGCACATTCATTTTTAACAAAACTAACTTTTAAGCAACATAAAGTTGAAATTCCTATCATAATAATTACTCATGTGTACTGAGTTGTTTTTTTTTTAATTATTTAAAATTTAAATCACACCCAAATAGCACCATCTAGGGGTAAACATTGTAAACACTTCAGAGTTTCCTTGAACTCCTTTCTGTCCTTTCTAGACTGAGTTGGAGTCATGTAACATTTAGAATTTGCTTTTTACCCCACTTAATATTTGAAATGGAACTTCCCTCAACCTTTCTCAAACATTACAGGATGTGACCATTTCCTTAAATGCTCTGCCATTGACAGCTGCTTGGCTAATTTTAGTTATATTTAACGTGATAAATAATTCAATAAGAGCCAGGTGTGGTGATACACATCAACCAGGATCAGGAGTCGAAGAGCAGCCTGAGCTATATATCCAGTTTGAAGCCAACCTACCTGAGACTCTGTCTCAAACAAACAAACGAAAAACTACAAGTAATAAAATTGCAGAGGTTTGATATTACAACTTCTGTTCTGCCCAGTAAGGTTCAGCTTTCTGAGGACAAAGAACTTGTCTTCCATCCCATAAATATGTACAATTATTACACTGCCAATTAAAAATAATACAGGAGCCAGGCGGTGGATCATGCCTTTAATCCCAACACTCAGGAGGCAGAGCCAGGTGGATCTCCATGAGTTTGAGGTCAGCCTGATCTACAGAGAGAGATCCAGGACAGGAACCAAAACTACACGGAGAAACCCTGTCTCAAAAAACAAAAAACAAGCCGGGCGGTGGTGGCGCACGCCTTTAATCCCAGCACTCGGGAGGCAGAGGCAGGCGGATCTCTGTGAGTTCGAGGCCAGCCTGGACTACAGAGCGAGTTCCAGGAAAGGCTCAAAGCTACACAGAGAAACCCTGTCTCGAAAAAAACCAAAAAAAAAACAAAAAAAAAACAAAAAAAAAAAAACAAAAAAAAAAAACAAACAAAAAACAAAACAAACAAACAAACAAAATATTGTGTGCTGGCTAGTTTAATGTCAACTAGATAGGAGCTAGAGTTATCTGAAAGGAAGAAACCTGATGACTTTTTCTTAATTAGTGGTTGATGGGGGAGAACTCAGCCTATTGTGGGTGGTTCCATCCCGGGGCTGGGGTCCTGGGTTCTATTAGAAAGCAGGCTGGGCAAGTCATGGGGAGCAAGCAAGTAAGCAGCACTCCTCCATGGCCTGTGCATCAACTCCTGCCTCCAAGTTCCTGCTCTGTTTGAGTTCCTGTCCGGACTTCCTTCAATGATGAACAGTGATGTGGAAGTGTAAGTCAAATAAACCTTTTCCTCCCCAAGTTGCTTTTGGTCACAGTGTTTCATCACAGCAATAACTAAGATACATTGTATACATGTGTGAAATTCTCAAAGAATAAATAAAAATATTTTAGATTTTTGTTTTGTATTTTAGATTTTTAAACGATGGGGGATGGCCATTCATGGTGGCACACATCTTTATCCCAGCACTCAGGAGGCAGAGGCAGGAGGATTTCTGTGAGTTTGAGCTCAGCCTGGTCTACAGAGTGAGTTCAGGATAGCCAGAGCTACACAGTAAGACCCTGACTAAAACTGAAGAAAAGAAATAAAGAAAAGAAAAAGGGAAACAATGATGGAGTGCTGGAGAGAAGGCTCATCAGGTAAGGGCACTTGCTGTTCTTGCAGAGGACCCAAGTTTCACTCCTAACACCTAACTGTAGCACACAATGGCCCTTAACTCCATTCCCTTATGGCTCCATGGGCATCAGGCATGCATATGGTACACACAAACAAATGCAGGCAAAATACACATAAACATAAACCTTTTTTAAAAATTAAAACAAGATAGCTCAGTTGATGTGGGATATCTTTCTCTACACTGTGAATATGTGTTGCTCCCACTGGTTAATAAATAAACCTGCACTGGCCTGTGGCAAGGCAGGACAGAGCCAGGCAGGAAATCCAAGGAAGATAGAGTGAGAAGAAGGCCAAGGGAAACAGAGAAAAAAGGTGGAGTGGGGGGAGGGGACACTCTGAGCTACTGCCAGTAGAAGTAAGGTGTGAGAGACCGGGTAATACCACAAAACCACGTGGCAAAACATAGCTTGATAGGAACAGGTCAAGTTAGTTAAGTTATAAGAGCTAGCTAACAAGAAGCCTGAGCCATAGACCATACAGTTTGTAATTAATATAAGTCTCTGTGTGTGTTTACTTGGGACCAAGCGGCTGCTGGACAGGGCAGGACACAGAGAAACTTCTGGCTACACTCAGTGGCTAAGAACTTGCTGCTCTGCCAGAGGACAGGAATTCGGTTCTCACACCCAGGTTGGGCAGCTCATAAATCCAGCTTAACACCCTCTCTGGTCTCTGTGGTTACCTGAGTGCACTTGCACACACACACACACACACACACACACACACACATACACACGCACACACATGCACACACAAACATACACACATATACACAGGCATACACATGCATAATAAAAATAAATAAATCTTTTTAAAATGACATTTTTTTAAAAAGAAAAATTTTCCTTATTGTGGAAAAATTCAAAGAGTATTTTCATCACCCAGCTTCAACAATTATCAGCCCACAGCCAATCTGGTTTCCTAAGTCTCCAATTACTTTCCTCCTCCGATATTATTTTTAAGTAAATAATCTTTTTTATTTCATCTGCAAATGTTTCGCTCAGAAAGTGTCTCTAACAGTTATAAAGACTTCAGGGGGGCTGGAGAGATGGCTCAGAGGTTAAGAGCACTGGTTGCTCTTCCAGAGGTCCTGAGTTCAATTCCCAGCAACCGCATGGTGGCTCACAACCATCTATAATTTGATCTTGTGCCCTCTTCTGGCATGCAGGCATGTATGTAGGCACACTGTATACATAATAAATAAATCTTAAAAAAAAAAAAAAGACTTCAGGGTTGGGGTGGTAGTTCATTCTAATCACAGCACTTGGGAAGTAGAGGCAGGAGGATTAGGAGTTCATGGTCATCTCTGGCTATATAGGAGTACAAGACAATCCTGGACTACAAGAGATAATATCTCAACCTCTACCTACCCAAAGGATAAAGAATTTACAAATCATAATTAAGATATCATTATCATTTTATTGTTGTTGTTTTGGTGGTGTTGTCTAATGTAGCCCAGGCTACTCCCAAACTCTCAGTAACAGAGGCTGGGCTTGACCTTCTGACCCTCTCTCCTCTACCTCCAGAATGCTGGGATTATAGGTGTGCACTGTCACACCAGGCTCAGTAATTATCATGATTTTAAAAGATTAATTATTGTCTTAGGGTTTCTATTGCTGTGAAGAGACACCATGACCACGGCAACTCTTGTAAAGGAAAACATTTAATTGGGGCTGGCTTACAGTTTCAGAGGTTCAGTCCATTATCCTCATGGAGGGAAACGTGGCGTGCAGGCAGACGTGGCGCAGGAGAAGGAGCTGAGAGTTCTACATCGTGACCGCTGGCACCAGGAAGTGAACTGTTTTATTACACTGAGCACAGCTTGAGCAAAAGAGACTTCAAAGCCCACCCCCAGAGTGACACACTTCCTCCAACAAAGCCACACTTCCTAATAGTGCCACTGCCTTTGGGGGCCATTTTCTTTCAAACCACCACAATTATAATTGTTTTCTTTTTTTATTATTATTATAAACTGTTTGGCCCATTGCTAATATAATCTTATAACTAACTGCTCTTATGCTTAAATTAACCCATAATCTCATCTATGTTTAGCTACGTGTCTTGGAACCTTTTCTCGGTCCAACATTCTCATCTTACTTCCTCTTCATCTGGCTGGCGATTCCATCTCTATGATTGTTTTCTTTTTCACCTTTTTTTTTTTTTTTTTTTTTTTTTTTTTCTGAGACAGGGTCTCTCTGTGTAGTTTTGGTGTCTGTCCTGGATCTCACTCTGTAGCCCAGGCTGGCCTTGAACTCACAGAGATCTGCCTGCCTCTGCCTCCAAGTGCTGGGACTAAAGGCGTGCACTGCCTGGCCTTTTCAACTTTTTACATTCAAAATTTGCCAGCCTACAGATAAGTTGCCCCCTATTCTCACCTCATTCACCAGGTTGTTAGCATTTTGCCACATCTGTTTTCTGAACCATCTGAGACCAAGTTGCAAATGTGTTCTTTTGCTACTAAATATTTCCATATATATTTCCCTCAAATAAGGAGATTCCACCATATAACCATAATGTAATAATTATATTCAAAAAATGAAGATAGATGTAACAAAATATAATTTGTATTCAAGCTTTTCCAAAGGCCCCTTGCAGAATCCTTTTCCAACCCTGTAACTGGTCCAGCACCACATATTACATTTAGTTACCTTGTCTCTTTAGTCCCTTTCTCTAGAACCATTAGCCCTTCCTTCATAGCACCAGTATTTTGGAAGAGTACCCACCAGGTGTTTCATAGTCTGACCATAAATGTTGGTTTGCTTGGTTTCCTCCTGGCCCCACATCCCTCAGGTTCTGCATCTTTGGCAAGAATGG